ACAAGAAAAAGCTCTCATCAAACTACCACCTTTTGGGGAGAAAAGAAGAATGAAGCTGCAAATTTTTAGCGTGAATTCAGTTTTAATCGGACTTCAATATAAATATCGGCCTTCATAAGAAAAAATATAAATATCGGACACGAGGTGGAAAAAAATTTAGTATACTCAAAGTAGAAAAAGAGTTGAAACTATTTATATGCATTTTAAAATGACTATTTTGCTTCTATTGTTCTTTTACCATCAAGTTATTGGAATACTGACATATAATCATCAATTTAAATTTAAGAAATATTTTTTATCAAAAGACGATTCAAAATAAAACTTATGTCTCCACTTCTATAATGTTAATCATAACCTTTTAAATTCTGACTACGCTTTTAATTATGTCAACCACATGTTAAACTTATGTCTTGGATGAATGTTGGGGTGCATTGTAAGACTCTTCCAAGGTGATTTTTGATAGTTAGGGATCAAAAATAGGTACATTTTACTTGATAGAGAATAATATACCACTATGAGTGAAAACACATGCAACACTATTAAGTATTGTTTTTTCTATGATTTTTAGTCAATTTCATGGGAGAAGCTAGTAGCTTGTATGCGAGTTTAAACTTCGTAGATTTTATTTAAATAATATATTTGTGTTAATGGATTCATCAAATATGTATAAATATTAAATTTGGAATTCAGTTATTATCTCTTAAAATCATTATTATAAAATTCAGAAATTCATAAAATTAAAATTCTAGCTTTCACTATGTTAATTGTGATTTGATTTGCACGTTATAATCAATCATTTTCCTAGTTAAGGTAAAACATTCCCTGCACAATTTTAGAGGACAAATTTTCGAATGAAACTATTTTTTTCAACTTAGCTTGACAGAAAATTCTTTTTACTATTTTGATTTCACACTAGATGTATGATATTCAATATGTTTTTTTCTCCATTTCACACTAAATTTTTTTGCGAAAAATATTTTTTTTGGTATCGAACCGAATGTTTTATTAAGAAAATATTATTTTGACTGATTTTAAGAGTCGCCACTTAATTTTTAAGAAAAATCAAGAAAACTATTGTTTTCAAAAGACTAAAAACAGAAATCTAGTGAAAACTAAAAAAAAAGGTTCGAGGTTCTTATTAATATTCTAGGAAGGTTTTAAAAGCACCTAGAATATCCACTAATGTGGTTATCCGACAATTAATTATTTGGCTAAAGTAGTTTAACTTAACTTAAATTGAACAATTTTTTAGTTAAGACCATTTTAGGGGAAAAGGAAAAATATTGAAATATTATCTAAGTGAAGTATTTATTTTTTTTTGTAAAATTATTATTTAAGTTTTAAGTCAAGACGAATAATATAGTTAAATGATTAATTCAAAATGGGTGTCTTTTAGG